GCTGTCGGTGTCTTCTCAGTTATTCCCGCAACGTGAAGATAATCGCATTTCTTTTCCTACATCTCCAGACATAATCGCATTTCTTTTCCTACATCTCCAGACAGCATATAACATCACCAAAACTAGTTGATATGACAGAATAATTACAACTTTCCCGATAGTAGCAACACATTCCTGATAGCTTCTCTCCATTGTCCTGGGATGTGTAGTCCCAGCAAGTTTGTGACTTCTACTTCCTGTTTACTACAGACATGCGTCTGACGTAGTGACGCTTTGCGTACCCTGGTTGATTTGCTCGAACTAAAAAAAAAATTCCTGGATCCGCGTCGTAATCCAAAACATCACGAAAATTTTAAAGTGTTCCTTTGGTCAATACCCACCTGCGGTAAAAATTTCACAAAAATCTGTCCATACAATTTTGAGGAATTTTTTCGACAGACAGAATGACCTATCACCCCTAAAGAATCACCCCTAAAAAGAGCCCATCACCACTGTTTACTTTGTTTCACTTTGTGTGAAATATGTGGATTTATGAAGCAGAATTCAAATCACTGATTCTGATTCTTTGCTATATACATGTCCAAACTTTTGTGAAATTAGGTTATTTCTATATGGATGTGTCTGTTCAGGCCTGTCGAGAAGGTGAGCTGGCCAAGAAGCTGCAGGATGAGCAGTTCTGTCTGCTGCAGTGTGCAGTGGTGGAGGCTGAGGGCATCATACTGGACGCTGTGGCTAAACTGGATGACCCCATACATGTCCGCTGCATCAGCTCTCCTGGTAAAATGCTTCTCTTCCCCCTCGTCATTAAAAAAAAAGAAACATATCTGATATTAGGCAAGGTAATTCAGTTTTTCTTACCTTTTTATCAACATGAAATAGGAGCAATGAACCACAATTTAATAAGGTTTATTAATGGACTTTAAATAAAAACAAATATTTGTATTTATCAGCGTGATGGGATTTAAGCATTTATTGTATGCATTTATATATGAGCTCAAAAGTCTCTTTGAAAAACCAACKAGTATCAAAGCAGTTTCAGGATTGAATTTAGATGCAGATTAGCCTGAGCATCTTATGCAATTCCACTGGATTCTAATCTCCATTCACTTCTCTGTCTGGACTTTCTCCCACTGACATGGTTTCTCTGGTAAAATTTCAACCGGGCCGGTCTATGGGAAGAAAATTGTGCCAGCAGAAACTGAATTTTACGGAGCCCGCCAAGAGTCAGTGGGTGAAAATAAAACAGCTGCTGGAAATCCGTGCGCACAGATTGATAAACTGCGCTCTCAGTTTCTGCAATCCGTGTGCACAGATTACTAAACCGTGCGCTCGGTTTTGGCAATCCATGCACACGGATTGCTGACATCTGGAGAGGTTGGATGTGACCATGGGTGTTTGTGGGAACTGAAGTCGTTCATCAGCTCAGAAAATGCTTAAGGAGCGTTTTTTGTTCATTAAATGGTAAATGGACTGAACTTATAGAGCGCTTTAGCAAGTCCCTCTAGACCCCAAAGCACTTTACACTTACAGACKTTCACCCATTCACACTCACATTCACACACTGATGATGGTAAGCTACACTGTAGCCACAGCTGCCCTGGGGCACACTGACAGAAGTGGGGCAGCCATGCACCGCCACCAGATCCTCTGACCACCATCAGTAGGCAAGGTGGTTGAAGTGTCTTGCCCAAGGACATAACGACTGAGACGGCGGGACGGGTGATTGAACCAGCYACCTCCTGGTTCCAGGACAACTCCCCTAACCACTCCGCCACAGCCGCCCACTAAAGTCAAAGTACTGCACAGAAAAGGTTCAAATTTGAGTATGTTGTACAGTTTTTGTCCCACTGACCCTTGGCGGGCTCTGTAGAATTTGAATTGCTCATACTGAAACTGTATGTGCATATTTTGAAATCGAATGCAATGGATTGAATATGACTACTTTCACTTTCAGTTCCAAAATTCAGATTTTTGTGTCACACATCCTTGAGAAAACCAGAGTAGTCAAACACAGATCAACAGATTCACGTTTCACATCACTGAAACTTCTTTTCTGTAATGTAACAGAGTTGATGCAATCAACCATAAAAATGTCAAAAAAGAAAAAAAAAAGTTTATTGCAGTGATTAATTTTACCAATGGAAAATGTTACATTTACATCACGTCATGGAACAGTCAGCAGCAGCATCTGATAAATATCTGCCTGCAGCTGGGAACAACACTGTGGGAGGACTGTATCTGAACACAGCTCTTCGATGGGCAGCGAATGCTGCTGTAACTCCTGCCCAGTCCCAAAGCACCAACAGGTGGCTTAGTCCTCAGGTCTTTCACTGATGTTAAATGTAAATCTGTCAATCTGTGTTTGATTACTCTGGCTTTCTCAAAGACCAGGATGTGTAACAGAAAAATCTGAATTTAGCCTCTCCTTTGGCTCCCTGTCAATTTCAGAATAAAATTTAAAATCTTACTTCTAAAGCCCATCATATATTAAACATCTTATTGCTTCATATTTTCCTAACAGAGCACTTCGCTCTCAGACTGCAGGTTTACTTGTGGTTCCTCGAGTTTCTAAAAGTAGAATGGGAGGCAGAGCTTTCAGTTATCAAGCTCCTCTCTTGTAGAACCAACTTCCAGTTTCTGTCTGTGAGGCTGACACTCTGTCTGCTTTTAAGACTAGACTAAGGCTACGTTCACACTGCAGGCAAATCCGACCCAAATCCGATTTTTTTGACCCGTCTGACTCATATCCGATTTTTTTATGACAGTCTGAACGAGACAAATCCGATTTTTTCGACCCGTCTGACTCATATCCGATTTTTTTATGACAGTCTGAACGAGACAAATCCGATTTTTTCGACCCGTCTGACTCATATCCGATTTTTTTATGACAGTCTGAACGAGACAAATCCGATTTTTTCGACCCGTCTGACTCATATCCGATTTTTTTATGACAGTCTGAACGA